TCCTGCCCCTGAAATCCAGATCATCATAAATTTCATCTATTTATACTGCGGTTTTGGTTTGCACCTTATAATTCGGTTCAACACACTTCGTGCAGATGTCAACTATACGAGAGTACTTCATATTAGAGTAAGGAACTTTTTAAAATCTATCAATTTATATTGACGGAAGATCAGCTAGATGGACGATATTGCCAAAAGAGAGAGAGAGAGAAAGAGAGAGAAATCTTGTTGCCTGTTAAAAGCGTTTTTGGGTGTTGTTATGTGTTGTTTTCTAACAATTAATGTGCCCTGTAAATAAAATGTAAACGGAGGTTTATATATTGTACATGTGTATTCTGAAATACCATGATGACATTTTATATTATACAATTATTGCTGGGGTTTTTTTTTTTAGGTTTTTTTAAGATTTAGCCATCTGAAGAGTACAATATTCACCGAGCTCGAAGGGCAATGTGAATATTGTACTTCAAAGATGGCTAACTCATTGTATTGACCGAAAAAAAAAAACAGCAATATACTATATGATTCACTGATAAAATGATACAACTCATTACTTGTTTGCATTTGATTAAGTCGTAGCCAAACACAAGAGAGAAGCAGAGTTAAAATGTAAATGAACCCTACCAGTTGTATTAATTTGAAATGTTTTTTATATCTATATTAGTTGCCATGAAAAAAAAGATATATAATGTCAGGCTCTTTTTATAGGATAGATTTTGAAAGGAATGAGAATTATCAGGGAAAACTGACAGCCGAAAAAATGTAAAAAATGTTGTTCATTTAAAGAGTAGGAGGGGGTCCCTACATCCCCTCTAACCACCCTCACTTGAAAATATTCGCTTATGTTTTGTTCACATTAGAAAAAGTCATAGTCGTTTAAATAGTTTTCCATAACAATTTGTATCAATTTGGAATTTCCCGATCTATTTTTAGATCTATGTAGAGGAAATAATACTTTATATTCACCTGGAACGTTACGTGCAAGTAAATATAACTTAGTATTTCTTCCAAATAGTTGGATCTCAGCCAGAAAGATAAAAATTATTCAATCATTCTATACTTTTGATCCAGTGTGAGACTATACTATGAATATGTAACAAATCCTACATTTTCATGATGATACAACTTGTGGTATTGCACTTCTCCATGTCAAACCTAATTACTAAGTCATATTACATTATACATCGATAATATTCATTTGTAATCAGTGTAATCATATTGTAATAATTTGTTCATGCCCCCTGAGGGCCCTTGATTGGTGAATAAACATATTATTATTATTATTATATATATAATAAATTTGTTTATTTGATGATGATTATGATGTATTTCAATGAATTTGTTGTTATCTTTTGAATATATAACTTTTAAAAGTGTTTAATCTTTTTAGTGAATATTTTTTAAAGGAATAAAATATGTATTTTGAAATTACATCAAGATATAAGATATAATTCGAAGGTTTAATTTATGTTTAATTTATTAAAATTTATCCAGAAATTGACAGGGTTTTATGTTTATCTAATAATTTAACATCAATATATTTCATCTTTGTATTAAATGTACTTCAAAAATTAAATATTTCGTCTTTTTAGTGAATATTCATGAAGAAATAAATTAAAGTTGGTGTTTATGGAACTTAAACAATAACGACGAAAAGAAAAACAAATATGTTGGTATAATCATCCACAATTCCACATTATCACCATATCTTGCATCGTGCTAGCTTTTCATTTCCTAATCAATATATAAATATAACCCTTTGATGAGGCCGATCCATAGATATATCGACTTCACAGAAAAGCATATCGACCTCGCACTTTGTGCTCGGTCGATATGCTTTTCTGTGAAGTCGATATATCTATAGATTGACCGAATTAAAGGGCTACATTTGATATATTATTTTTTACAGAGGTTGATAACAACAATTTGAAAAAAATGGGAACAAACCACAAGTTTTCTCTCTTAAACACTTAGAGACTAGAAATAAAAATAAATTAAGTTGTTTAATATAACTGTGTTAAACTTTCCTTGACAATTTTAGATTTTTACATAATTTAGAGGATTTACTAATTGAAAATACTAAAATGTACATCTTTTTGATTATGTTTTGTATCAATTTTGACAAAGATGTTCAATATGTTTTAATATCAAGTACACAATGTAGATCCTAATATTCAGGCCATTGTTACGTCTTGTGAGTTACAGAACATTACAAATTTAAATACATGTACAAGTTTAAGTACATATATATAAATTTTTTGAAACATCAAGCCATATACTGTATTAGCTATAATTGTGAAATCTTTCCAATTAATTTTTTGTTTTACAGAAAATTACCTCTATTTTAAGAAATCTCAAGTCAATATGCATTTCAGATTCTATAAATAGTAACTCAAGTCTATATGCTGTTATATACTAAATCATGTGACCAAGTTTAAGCCAATCAGAGAGCTTGGAATATATGATTAAGGTTCATAAACCCTCTGCTCACTCATATGAAATTTTTCTTTAACTTTTATGATTTTTCAAAGTAAATGTATATGCTGAATAAAATACAAACAATTAAAGCATGGCTTGCGGGGCAAAATATGACAAAAAAAACGCACTTAAACTTGACAAATTTATAAAGGAATAATAGACATTTGTGTCATTAAGAGTTATCTCTCTTATCAGAGTATCAATGTACCTTAAAATAATATTAAAAATTATAGTTTTGACTTGAGACGGCATGCTATAATCAAATTATGACCAAGAATCATTCTGATAGATATTCTGACGAGAGATCCTCCGCCTAGCACCATTGTTGATTCCTTTAATTTCTTGTCAATGTCAACATGACTTAATTGATAACTCTTTGAATGATATAACCCATTTATCTTTCCTATCAACGAGCTGATGCGAGATCCGCCGGATGTCGTTATACCTGCCTGAGTGGATTGTTTTCTCCCAGGTCCGAGTCGGCCACCCTGAGATCATACTCCATACGAAGTCAATTCTCCGGAACGACTAATTTTTTTTAAAAGATCAATAAATTAAAACAGACTACTTTAAACCCTATTAGGTTAAAAATATATATTCTTAACCACCCCACCTCCACCTCGGAAATTTCAGAATAATTACATTTCTATATAAAATTTTCAAGACAGGAGACCAATGGGCCAAAACGCTTGCCTAGGTTACTTTGGCCCCAAGTCAATTTTCTATCCAAATAAACTTATATACTTATACAAAATATTGACCACTTTAATTGTGTTCCCATCCTATACACAGGGACCATAATTTAAACAAAAAGAAGGATGCCAGCTTTATCATTAATAATTCATGATTTTGATGTTCTTGAGAATGAAGTTTTGAAGATTTTCCCCACATAACTCATATTCTTGGGACCTTAGATTCAACATCACCAGTTATATTTCACCTTCTAAAGTTTCATATTTTTTGGACCATTGATCCTTTAAAAAAAGAGATATTGAGATATTGAAATATTTTTATGTCCCTGTTATCAAACATTTTAGTTAGACGTGCCCGTCCATCTGTCTAGCTGTTTGGCTGCAAAAAGTTAGACCGTCATGCCTATTTTGATTGGTTGGAGCTATGGATTTCATATATTTTATTCCGTATAACAAAACCTTCTTTTGGACATTCGACTTAAGTGCTTTCAAATACTTCATCTTCGTATACATGAAAATACCTTTCCATCCGTATAAGAATTTTTTGCCTAAACCTTTGACCGACTTTTTATGAGCTTTAACCTTGTCCTTAACTTTTAAAGAAGAACTATGGCTGTTATATTTTACAGATGTATTCCTTATGACAAGTCATTTCTTTGGATATAATCATTTCAACCTTGACCTACTTTTTAAAAAAAATCTTATATTGATCTTGACGTACCAGTTTGACTCATTTTCAAAAACTTTATCCTTGGAGGTAACTTTTAAATGGCTAATATTTCGTCGTTCATATTTCACAAGTCTATTCATTGACACAAGTCCTTTCTTTGGGTAAAATCTTTTCACCTTGACCTGGGAGTTTGAACTGCATTTGAAAACTTTTGCCATAAGCTTTCATGGGGGCATCAGTGTTTCAATAACACATTTATTTTCATTCCCATCCATGATGGTAAGGTCATGTGTTTGAATCCAAGATGCAACAGATCTAAGTTGATAATAAAATTGGAAGCAATAGTTCCTTCATCAAGTTCTCACAACTTCGAAGTGAAAGTTGCGGGTCATTGGATGAGACCTTAAAAAATGAAGCCCTGTGTTACGGTAGGCATTGGGACAGTAAAGAACCCTGAGTGCCAAGTAATGGTCTAAATTTGAGCATGCATTTTTGTACACTAAATTCAATGTCCACTGCATTGAATTTCTATTGGATATCAATGAGTTATTCTATTTAAAATTATTAGTACAATTCTTAATTAACCTTGGACTTTCAGTAAGCCAAGGCATTCTCAATATTTTATAATTAGTGTCTGAAATTTACACAGCTTTCATTCACTGTTGAAATATACATGGGATAGAAATACCTGCAAATGTCAACAAGTGTAGCAATTATCCAATATAGGGTCTAGGAGGGCAAAGAGGTTGGGCTTAAGTCATCTCATCATTGTCAACAACAATTTAAATTTCCTGATGTTATTAATTTCTTAACCAATGAGAATCTATTCGCAATTTGACAACTTATTACGTAGCACTGAGATACTGAAAGTCCGAAGTTAACTGAGAATTGTACTATGAAAGTCTTAAATTATGTTTTCATTACTGGAAGAGTATTTTATGGAGATAAAAACATTAAATTAAAATGTAAGAAATGAAAACTATGAAATTTCCGATATGAAAAGTTAGTACATTTTAAAACTCTGCATGAGAAATACAGCGGTCTATTTGCACCAAAAACTGAAAAATTAACACAGCTTCGAGGCAGACACACTAAGTGCACCTTAATATTCAAATAGAAGCACTGTCATGGACCAAATCCAAATAAAATAATTAAAATGATACAAATCATTATTTATTATTAAATTATACATTTAAAGAATCAAGTTTTTAGACCAAAAAATACACCCATACATACACATAAAAAATATCAACTCTTTAATAAAATATAAAGATAGCACATTTCTTTACACAGCACTTACTGAATGAGTATTTACACAGAAATTTCTCACATCTTTTGTTCAAGACTTCCACTCATGGAGGAATAATTTTAAATTATTCATTTTATACAAACCACATCCAAGCGAACAGAAAATGGAGGATTAATCTATCAAAGCACCTTGTTTTCACCTGTACACATTCATTCAATTGTAAGGAATGGCGAGCGTAAGTTGTTGGAACCCAATCATGCAATGTTAAACTTAATCACTCTTTAAATATATTGAATGTATCTTACACTTTTTTTGCACTAAACTCCAAAGCACTACATAAAGGCTTATATAAAAAAAATACAATTTTGCAATCATCCAAAGTGCACTGCTGTATAGAATTCATTCAAAAATGCCACACTTAAAAATGACAATCGATAACTTAAAACAAGAAAGAACTCTAAATGTCTGCTCAAACCATATAAACATTTCAGAAATTAGTTATCTATTCCACAATCATAAAACTTTGACTTGAATCTCATGTAAAAGATTATTCATCAACACATGAAATAAATACAAAGACTGATCTTAAAATCTTCAGAATTTTTAGATTTAATTAATTGTTGAAAGTAATTTCACAAACCTCATTACATGTACATAATTTCCATACTGAGTATTTGTTTACATGTATAACTCACATTTACAATATATTTCTTAATGTGTTACAACTACTTGACCAGCCCTGCTGAAACACATTATTATGAGAATATTTATTTATGATGCATTATTTTTTTGTTATGCAGTTTTAGACTTGCAACATATTTTGTAAAATAGACAACTTATACCACACACTAAAGCTTCAACTTTGGAAAGGGATTAACTTAAATTGAAAAATAAACTATACTCAAGTATTTCACAAGGATAATTCATTTCACACAAAAATTATGGTGAAGAAAAGTTATCCTCAAATTACTGTAAAAGTGGTTATTTATCATATGGATAAAGTTTGCTTTTAATGATCCTGCATTTACAGCTACCATTTATCAAAAGCATATTTTTTTTTTTACCATAATACAAGGAAATTTAACATGGCTATAAGCTTCTGTGTAAAACCAGTGAATCCATTGAACATTTTCCCTTTATATAAATATCCACATTTACAGTTTATAATACTTGTTGATTATTATAACCATCATGCTTAACTTCTCAAATGCATTGAAAAGCTAGGAATGTGTGAAAACCTTTAACACTATACACATAAAAGATATGTGACTGCTTGGTCAGTAATTGGACATCACATGGGTAAGAGATGGTCATCTCTCTCATCATCCCCCTCCAACTGGTCATCACCGATGCCTTTATATGACCGGGACCCTGGGGGCTGCTTGGACCGACACACCAGATTGCAGCCATCCTGTGGTAGAAAGGGATTCTCTTAGGACAATTAGATCTATGTCTTGTACAGAATACACATACATATGTGTTCACTGTAAAGCAAGGCTTATAATCAACAACATTTTGTTTCAATCAACCTGTTCTTCTACAACATATTTTTTACACATGTATTAAGTACATATATGGATTTCAAACAAATATAAAACATTTTAACCAGAACTCTCTGAAAAGACAGTATCTCTACAGATCTGATTTCTACATAGCCTAGAAGTGGCGCCTAGGGCTGAAGTCATTTCTTTTCTAGTTTTACATATATATAGAGGATATTCAATGTTTTGTAGTTGAATATGGAATTTATTTCACGAGTGGGACAGGATTTTTTGATATTTTCACGAGTGCGAAGCAAAATATTAAAAAAACCTGTCTCACTCATGAAATAAATTCCATATTCAACTACAAAACATTGAATTTTCTGTTTATTACATTTCCTATGATTTTTTCCTTTACTCTGTCTTAGGCTACATGTACATGACGTCATAGTTGAGCAGTTGAGACGTCATACCTAGCCTAAATGTTGTGAGATTGAAAACGTTGTAAACAAGGATTTCAACAGCATATTTGGCGAATCTTTGGCAATTTTATTCAATGTAAGGGTGGTTTAAGGACCAAGGAGTATTTTTTACAACATTCTTTGTTATCGGAAGGAGAATCGAGTTTTACCGCACTTTTGATATTTGTCACACTGTGAAAGGATATCATTTTGATATACTTTCAAACTGTGACAGGATATCACTTTTATTCAATGGATAAATAGAGGATATTCAATGTTTTGTAGTTGAATATGGAATTTATTTCACGAGTGGGACAGGATTTTTGATATTTTCACGAGTGAAAATATAAAAAAATCCTGTCTCACTCATGAAATAAATTCCATATTCAACTACAAAACATTGAATTTTCTGTTTATTACATTTTTAAACAAAGTTCTTTGATTTTTTCCTTTGCCTCTGTCTTTTTGTAATACAATCATAGGCTCATTGTAATAATGGGTTATTTGTTATTTTAAACTGTAAATAAATTAAATATGAAATAACTTAATAAACAAACTTACTGCCATAAATAAATAAATAAATATGAATTTAAACTTAAACTCCATTTGATAATCAAATTTATTAAACTTACTTCACACACTGCATGGTAGTACTTATTTTAGATTTAGAGTTATCTTTTCTTAGTTAGAACTCTTTAATTCATTCAGGTATTTTCAGGAGAACCAGTCTAGGTCAAGCATAGTCGATTGGCTATTCTTGTTATGGGGAGTTTTTATTGGTAGGTCATTGAGGTCAAATTCCTTAGTGAGTTTTCCTTTGTTATTTTTAAATTCACTTTGAATCTAGCCATAAGCCAGAGCGCTAACTTATTATAATTGTCTGATTTACATATAGTTTGAATATACATAGTGTTGACTGGACATAAGACCTGATTACAGTAAGTTCTTTATTTTCTTTTACTAACTTTGCTTCGTTGAATGAATGAGTATGAATGAAATATAGTATTTGATGAGTTAATGAAAATGTGTAAAATCATATAGTAAATGGTTTAAATGAATATAAATCTAAAGATCTGTTTTTAAAGTTACACTGATATATGAAATATGCTTTATGATGAGATCTGACCTTAAGGAATATGTAAATATTGTATATATTGTAAGATTTAGTCAATACAACCATATGTTGTATGATATAGGTCAGATATGGTTTGGACGTGACACCCAGTTATTATTCTTAGAGGACAGCCTAGGTCCACAACTTGGTATTTATTTATATTATTACATACTTTTGAGAACTGTAAATATTTTTGGTAAATTATGTGAATTTACTTGAGTTTTTATGCATATGCTGAAATATAGAGAAATAAGAGTTATTTCCCTTTGATAAAATTCATGAAGTGATAATGAGTAAATTAATAGAAATATCAGTGTAATATAGATTTTATGCTTATGAAATAATTTGTGATAAATGTATATCTATCTTAATGTTATGAAATATTTATTATGTTTACATGTTTTGTAGGGTTGTTTATCCATCTATAATCATAACTTTAATTAACTTATTAGAAAAGGAATTAGATAAAATAGAAGAATCAGATTTTCAAAATATTGACATGAACAAAAAACGCAAAATAGAAAGAGAATTAGATGAGCTTTATGACAAAAAGTGGAAAGGTGCCTTTGTAAGATCACGATCAAAATGGATATTAGAAGGTGAAAAATGTTCAAAATTTTTTCTTAATTTAGAAAAAAGTAGACAAAAACAAAATGTCATAAAAGAATTAAAGATAAATAACAATAATATAGAGACTACGGATGACATTTTAGGCGCTATGTGTGACTTTTATGAAAATCTATACGCTTCAAATAATATATCTGACGATGGCATAGACAATTATCTATCTTCAGTTGAACTAGAAAATACACTAAGCGAAAGCGATGCTAAGTTCTGTGAACAATTTCCTTCTCTAGAAGAATGTTCTGAAGCAGTGTTTAATCTAAAACCTAACAAATCGCCCGGGTTAGATGGTCTCACAAATGAATTTTATCAATGTTTTTGGGAAGATATACAACTTCTATTTTACGAAGCATTGAAAAATATTTTTGAAAATGAACAAATGAGTTTTTCACAGAGAGTTGCAGTTATCTCTCTTTTATATAAGAAAGGCGATGAAAAAAATTTAAAAAACTATCGCCCAATCAGTTTAACTAATACTGATTATAAAATAATTGCTTTTATATTTGCAAAAAGACTGCAAAATATTATTGGAAATATACATGTAATCAATGAAAATCAATCTGCATATATCAAAGGGAGATATATTGGTGAAAATGCTAGAATGATTTTAGATATAATAGAATACTGTGAAGAAAGTAACAATGATGGGATATTGCTATTTTTAGACTTTGAAAAGGCTTTTGATTCGATAGAATGGAATTTTCTATTCAAAACTTTAGAAAAGTTTAACCTTAAAACAAACTTTTTGAAATGGATGAAAATTCTTTATAAAAATCCAGTACATGTATTTCGATTAAAAAACAATGGATGGGTATCTAAAACATGCAAGATGTCAAGGGGAATTCGACAGGGGTGTCCGATCTCAGCGATATTATTTTTATTTGTCGCTGATATTCTAGCTCTAAAAATCAAGAATAACGACCAGATTTCTGGAATAAAACTCTCAGATAGGGGTAAAGAATATAAACATGTACATCACGCAGACGATCTTACATTATTTTTAAAAAATGTGGAATCAATGAAAGAATGTCTTAAAACAATACATGAGTTCTCTAACTACGCCGGATCCAAGTTGAATATAGATAAAACTGAATGCATCTTGACAGGAGCATTGAGTCGTATCGGAGAAAAAATAGAAGGTATAAAAGTAAATACTTCATCTCTTAAATGTTTGGGCATATACATAGGTGTAAATAAAGATGAATGCTATAGAAAAAAATTGGGTTGATAAATGCGAAAATATGCAAAAACTCTTTGAATCATGGAAAAAAAGAAAACTCACAATTTTTGGCAAGACTGAAATAATAAACAGCTTAGGTATAAGTAAATTCATCTATATTGCGTCTATCTTACCTATTCCACGAGAAAACGAATTAAAAAAATAAATAAATTAATTTTCAATTTCCTTTAGGACTCCAGAGACAGGATTAAACGGAATACATTAATTGGCAAAATAGAAGAAGGGGGGATTGGAGTAGTTGACGTACTTACTAAGTTTCAAGCATTAAAAGCTGCTTGGATACCACGCCTTATAAATAATGCTGATCACAACTCTTTGCACTCTCACCTTGAGAATTTATTAGAGACATATAATGTAAATTTTGAATATATATTAAAAACCAATAGCAGTGGTCTAAACGACTGACCCATATAAAAGATTACCATTGTTTTATAAAGAAATTTTTATTTATTTTAATCAATGTAAAAAACTTCCTGACTTAAAGAAGATGAATATAAATGAAATTCTACAAGAACCAATATGGAATAATAGACTCTTTTTATTTAAGGGGAAAACGATATTCTTTAAACACTGGGTTAAAAATATAAAATATGTAAAAGACCTGTTTTCAGATGCTGGTTTTAAAACTATCGGAAATATAGGAGAAGAAATTCAAAAAAAGTCAAATATATTGTGTGAATATAAAATAATCTACTCTGTTTTTAAATATATTAGAGAGAAAAATGGATATCAACAATATAGATTTATTAATATAAAGAACAAAAGATATTTTAATTTTCATGGAAACTATTGTAAGATTGAAAATAAGAAGTGTCATTTTTTTTATAATGTCCTTTTGAGTAAGAAATTTTCTCCGCCAAAACATCAGCGTTTACTTGGAGAAACATTCAATGTTAATCAAGAAATGTGGAAATCTATTTATCAACAAAAGATTAAATTAGCTGTAGATAAAAACATTGCAGATTTCAATTACAAATTACTACACAATTTACTTTGTTGTAAAAACTTTATGGTAAAATGGAAAAAAGAAATCTCAGATAAGTGTTCTATCTGTTCTGTTGTAGAAGACATGCAACATCTTATTTTTGAATGTAGAAATGTTAAATATATCTGGGATCTAGCTTCCACTGTGTTGAAAATTAAAATTCAATGGAAAGACATTATTATTGGTTTTTACTTAGAATGTAATAAGAAAACATATTTTTTGAATAATTTCATTTCCTTTATTGCATTAAAGATATATAAATACAAAATGTTCTGTAGAATAGAAAATCTTGATGAAACTGAATATAATATTTTACGTACATCATATAAAAAAATCCACAGTATTTTGGGGCAAAGTAATTAAATGTTGTAATTATTCACTTAATGTTGATATCATTGATAAGTTTACAAAATTACTGTAAATTGTATTTGTATGTAAATACACATATGTATATCAATAATACATTTAAAATTTAGTTTAATAAGTTTAATAATTCCCGCTACTAG